TAGGACAACCTCTCCCAAGACGTCTAAACTATCAGGCCCAATGCCGTGCAGGACCTGTGTGGTGGATGGCTGAATGGGGTAATTAATATTTGCAGGGATGGAGTTGTAATGGTGGAGGGGCAGGACATTTCTCCGTGCACCAGAGTCCAACAAAGCACAAACTTCAACTCCATCTATCCTCACCATGATGCACATTTCCTCCTCTTGGCCCTTAGCACTGGCGACCATGGTGCTCCTGTTGGGCTGCGGTTGTAGGTTGGTGTTGAGTGGCCGGGATGGCCGACGAGGGGAAGGGCAAGTCTTTTGAAAGTGTCCAACACCAGAACAGTTGTGTCAAATAACTTCTCCAGTGTTTTTCACTTTCTTTTTGTTTTTGTTCAGCTGCCATTGCTGGTAAGGTTTCGACGTTTGGTTTGTGTTAGTTTCCATGAGTTCACACACTGGTGTGTAAGTGGGCTCACGCACTGTGGCTGTTCGGCCCCCCTGGGTCATGTAATTGCGGCTCCCTGGACGCATTAGTTGTGTTACGGCCCTGGCAGCTCTTTTTGTGGCCTCATACCTGTGTGCAATCTCATAAGCTTTGGCCAGAGTGCGGGGTTGCTCCTCCAGCAGCTTTTGGACCATCTCAGCATCCGCCAGAGCGTTGGTGAAGATCTCCACGCTGATGCAGTCCTGCTCAATCTCACTGCGGTCAGCGTAGACGATGGAGACTTTCTCATAGATGTCATCTCAAAGCTTGTGTAGAGCCTCACTTGGTTTCCTGACTCTCTGCCTCAGCTCTATTCCAATGGCAGCAGCATGCTCTGAGCACGGCCCATAAGCGCACTCTATCTCCTCCACGATGCGCTGGTAGCTCCAGCGAGGGGACTTGGGATTCTTGTGCACTATGGCGCTGGCTGCACCCATCAGACTGAATCTTAGCTGAACGGCTTTAGTCTTTTCAGTCCAGTGATTAGCTCTGGCACAGNTGCTTAGGTGGTGGAAACACAAAGAACTGGTGCTAAGTCAGGGACTAGCACGGAACTAGCACTGAACTAGCACTGGAACCGGTTTGGTGGACAAGCGGTATCAGTGGGCCGGACTACAGTCGTGGGTGGAGAGACAGTACAGGAGGGGGCTCAGTCCTTTATCCAGCTGCAGGTGAGAGGAGGGATGCCCAGGGACACGCCCACCGATAGGGGGGGACAAACAGGTGTGTTGTCCCGGGGCCAGAGTGGAGTGGGGGGCCCAGAACTGGACCCCTCATTGAATTATGGATTTTTTTCCCCAAAGAAGGGCTGTTAATGGAAAGAAACAGTGCAATATTTGAGTTAGAAGTTTTAATTTGTTTTCGTCTGAACTGTCAATATCTTTGGAATTGCCCTCCACCCCCACCTCCAACATAAAATGGTTTGGCCCCTGATCAACATCTGATGTCCTTTGATTGGAAGTTCGGATTTTGCACTTCACCACCAAAATGTCCGCTCAGCAGAAGTCTGGTGCTCAGAAAAGGAAAAAGAAGAGAAAAAGAGAGGAAGAAAATAGAGGCCATAGAGATTTGCTTAAAGCATACTTTTAAAAAGGTGGTGACAACGAAGCTCGAACTAGTAAAGTCAACGTAGAGCGAGGTAAGAAACAGCGGAGCCAGCGTTTGTCAGCCTTGTGACGTCATTTAGCTAGCTCTTAATATCCATTAGCTGTGATTAAAATCCTGACAAAACACGGGTTTTTGACAGAAACGGACGAGTTTAGTGGCTCCGTCAGAGAGGATGAGACAGAGGCCGAGGCGAGAGATCCACCTGCCGTCAGGTAGCAGAGATGAGGAGGAGGAAGGGGCCAGCTGGTCCGCAACAGAGGGACAGAGTCAGACCACGGATGAGACTGAGAGAGGGAGCGAGTCACGGTGGAGCGGGAGGGGCTTGCTGCCCAGTCGGACAGTCTGAGCAGGATGGATCAAAATCTTATACACATAACAGGAGAGGAAGAGCAAAGAAAAGGGGAGATATGGGTGAGTGGGGTGGGGGTGGGGGAGGCATCTAATATCATCTTGTCCCGGGCCCAGGGAAGGCTGTCAGCTGGCCTGCCCAGGGAGTCCAGTTTGGTGATCAGAATGTCCTGGATAATCGTGTTAAAGGCCGAGCTGTAATCACCAAAGACCATCCTGGCATAGCTCTGCTGCTGTTCCAGGTGGCTCAGCACAGCGTGCACAGCTACTGTGGGAATGTGGTCTTTTTGTTGTTTGTATCTGCATGCTTTTTTTGCCATTTGGTTGTGTTTGTTGCTTGTATTTGGAGTTTTGTTTGATCTACAAAGCCTTGAGTTTACTTTATGTTGGCCACACCCACTACCGAGCGTCCCTACAGACCTGGACATTGAGCGCACATGCACCTAAATTGCAGCGGTGGTGCAAAAGGGCAATCAATACAACAGGGCACAGCCAGTGGACACGGCAGAGAGGCAAGCAGAAAACAGAGCGCAGAGCGCAAGGACCTGGAAATGACGGCCCTAAGAATACATGGAGAGCAACAGAGGGTCAAGCCAGCAGGACGTGTTGTGGGGCATTGGAGGGGGAACGTGCGGCAACCCCCCTCCTCCCAGCTAAGTGCTCCTCTGTGATTTTATTTTTGTTTTACTCTCCTGCATGCACTCCTGGCTGCTTTAGAACTTGTTGATCTGAGCCTCTGAGTATTGACGGTGACTGTTTTACCCCCACTCAGAATGTCGGAGAGCCGGACCGGGAGCACAGAGCATTTTAAAGCAGATTGTGACGAGGCTGAGACTCCACCAGTACCTGGACACCTAACTCCTCATCTTATTATTTTATTCTTACTCCATTTGTAGCAGCAGCCTCCCTGGAGTTCACAGCCAGGAGCACATGCCTCACATCGTGCTCCCCCACAGTGAGGGGGTGCTGGAGCCAGCGAGCAAAGAAGCTGTTGAGCTCCTCTTCCAGCGACTCGCTCAGGTCTCCTGGTGTCATCACAGCCCCTGAAGTTTGTGATGCTCTGTAGACCCTGTCACACCTCCCTTGGTCTGTTGCTGATGAGATGGGACTCTATCCTCCTCTTGTAGTCTGCTTTGGCATTTTTAATTCCCTTTTTCAGGTCAGCTCGAGCCATGCTGTCAAGAGCTCTGTCACTTGACCTGAAGGCTGCATCGTGGGCCTTGAGGAGTGAGCAGACCTGGCTGGTCATTCAGGGTTTCTGGTCGGTGATTTCAACCATGCAGACCGTAAGACTGTGTTTCCCAGAATGCATCAACACATACACTTTCCAACCCGAGGAAACAACATACTGGATCTTGTTTATACTACCCAGAGAGGAGCATACAAGGCCTTTCCCCTCCCTCACCTAGGCGCTGCGGACCACATCACTGTTATGTTAATTCCAGCATACAGGCCACTGGTTAAAGTCACCAAACTAGTTCGAAAACAGGTATGAGTGTGACCAGAGGGGTCTTCGGAGGCACTTCAGGACTGTTTTAACACCACAGACTGGGATGTATTTAAACAAGCTGCTACACACAACAACACAACAGACCTCCAGGAGTACACAGAAACTGTCACTGCCTACATCAACAAGTGCATTGATGATGTAATGGACATCAAGACCATCATTGTCCGTGCTAATCAGAAGCCGTGGCTGACAGGGGAGCTCTACAGGCTCCTGAAGGTATGAAACGCTGCCTTCAGAGCTGGAGACGAGGTGGGCCTGAGGACAGCTAGAGCCAAGCTGTCCCGCAGCATCAGAGAGGCCACGAGGCAGTACTCCAGGAGAATAGCTCCTCGCTTCAGTGACAGCAGAGACACCAGGAGCCTGTGGCGGGGAATGCAGACCATCACAGACTACAGGCCCCCACAGTAGACCCCTGACAGCTCCACTCCTCTGCTGAATGAGTTAAATGACTTCTTCAGCCCCTTTGAGGCAAACAACGGCACCCCTGCACAGAAGACACCATCTCCTCCTGGTGACCAGGTGCTGACGCTGTCCACGGAGAGTGTGCGGAGAGTCTTCAGCAGGATCAAGGCACGCAAAGCTCTGGGTCCTGACAACATACCTGGTCGTGTACTGAGAGACTGTGCTGGGGAACTCACGGATGTCTTCACAGACATATTCTACATCTCCCTGAGGCAGGCTGTTGTGCCTCAAAACTGCCACCATCATTCCAGTACTGAAGAAATCATCTCCCTCATCTCTCAGCGACTACCGCCCGGTGGCACTTACTCCCTCCTGATGAAGTGCTTTGAGTGACTTGTCATGCACCACATCAAATTCCATCTCTCACCCACCCTGGACCCTTACCAGTTTGCATATCGGACCAACTGCTCAACTGATGATGCAATCTCCACTGCCCTCCACTCAGCCCTCACACATCAAGACAACGAAGACTCATATGTTAGAATGCTGTCACGAGGGATAATTGGGGAACCCAGGTGCACACACAGATCAAACAGGCAGGCAGATGAGGTGTAGACAAAGATTTATTAAACAACTGAATATAAGCTGAGGTGCGGGAACAAAACTGAGTGGGAGAAGCCAAACAGGAAAACCAAGCTGAATTGCGAATGGGGCAAAACTAGAAAAACCTAAAAAAAAAAACTCTAAACTTAGGACTGAGGAGAAATAAACCAAACAATTCAAAGATACAAAACTAAGCTGCTCAAACAACCGGGGATTCTCACAGAAGGGAAAAAAAAGAGGGGGCAGACAGGCTCAGGGAATCCAGGCTGAAACGGAGCAGAGACAGGCAGAAACATACAGATGGGCTGTTTATGATCCGGCAGCTGGTGGTGGAATGAACCAAGTCTTTATAGGAGCAGTGGTGATTGTGTGCAGGTGAGTCTGGAGTTGCAGCTGAGGGTCCTGATTAGTGCTGAGATGCACAGGGGCAGAGAGAGAGAGGGACAGAGAGTGAGAGACAGACAGAGAGGAGGGAGAAGAGAGGGAGAAAAAGAGGAAGACAGACAAGGACTGGGGCTGAGGCTGGGGGGTCATGACAAATGCTGTTCATAGACTTTAGTTCAGCTTTTAACACCATCATCCCCCAGCAGCTCATCCACAAACTGGACCAGCTGGGGCTCAACACCTCGCTGTGTAACTGGCTATTGGACTTCCTGACGGGGAGACTACAAGCAGTGCGGGTCGGAAGCAAAACATCCAGCACCATCATTCTGAACACGGGGCCACCCAAGGATGCTTGCTGAGCCCCCTACTCTTCACCCTGCTGATCTCTGACTGTATGCTGACGCACAGCTCCAATCTTTTTGTCAGGTTTGCAAATGACACAACTGTGGTGGGTCTTATCAGCAACAAAGACAAGACAAACTACAGGAGTGAGGTGAGCAGCCTGGCAAGATGGTCCAGTGCCAACAATCTTCTTCTGAATGTGGAGAAGACAAAGGAGATTGTTGTAGACTTCAGGAGAGAGCACACCCAGCATGCTCCCCTACACATCAACGGTGCGGCTGTGGAGAGGGTCAGCAACACCAAGTTCCTGGGTGTGCACATCTGAGAGGATCTCTCCTGGACGAGCAACACTGCATCACTGGCCAAGAAAGGTCATCAACGTCTCTATTTCCTATGCAAGCTGAGAAGAGCCAGAGCCCCGGCCCCCATCACGTCTACCTTCTACAGAGGCACCATTGAGAGCATCCTCTCCAGATGCATCATTTTTTTAGTATGTATATTTTTTCAACTGTGTTTTTTTTTTTTTTTTAAATGAGGGTTCGAGAGACTTAGCAAAGTCTGGGCAGCTTTGCTAAGGCTGCTGCCTCTGCGACCCGACTCCAGATAAGCGGGAGAAGATGGATGGATGGATGGGTTCGAGAGAAACTCAATTTCAGTTCCTGTATATGTACACGTGTAGCAGAACTGACAATAAAGTAACTTTGACTTTGACTTGAAATTTCCCCTTGGGGATTAATAAAGTATTTCTATTCTATTCTATTCTATTCTATTCTAGTTACACAGTTGATAACACAAACAAGTTCAGATGGTTTGGATGAGAAACTGCCTGCAAAACACATTCAAATTTGCAAGTGCAACAGAATGTCACAAGAAAGAGATCAGTGTCTACAGCAGTATTTCCCCATCATATCCCCCCGTTTGTCCTATGAATAAACATGAAGAGAAATACAGTTATTTACAAATATTAGACAATAATGGGACTTCTTCAGCATTGATACTTGTCGAACATCACTAAGTCATCAGTTATTTCGATTTTAAACAAAAGGATCATTCTCAACATCACTTCATGCTGTCAGTCTCGGCACAGGTCTTTCAGTCTGTAATACACAGAGGGTTCTCCAGCAAATCTACATATTCTTGCGGTTGACCTCCAACATCATCCTGTGGAACATGTTGAAGCAAATAGATCGGAGTACGTAAATTTGTAGAAGTCATATTCAACAAGAATTGTTCAGCAACAGGAAAAATGCAACAACCACAGCAAGGGAGACGGGGAGAANTTTCAATGCAACATACCTTGCTTACCGTTGCTAACCTAATTTCACTTTGTAGAACAGCCCTGTGGCCAGTTTTCATTTCTGGTAAGCATGCCATGATAGCTCTTGTTAAAACATACAGTTCCAGTCAAAAGTTTGGACACACTTTCTCATTGAATGGTTTTTATTTATATTAATTACTTTCTACATTGTAAATTAATACTGAGGATGTCAAACTGCGAAGGAACATATATGGAATTATGTTTTAAATTTTAGATTCTTCAAAGTATCTCCCTTCTGCTTTGATTGCAGCTTTGCACACTCTTGGCATTTTCTCAGTCAGCTTCATGAGGTAGTCTCCTGGAATGGTTTTGAATTAACAGGTATGCCTTGTCAAGAGTCAATTGGTGGAATTACTTGCCTTCTTAAAATGTTTGAGGCCATTAGTTGTGTTGTGCAGAGGTAGGGTTAGAGTACACAGTGGATAGCTCTATTTGACTACTGTTGTAATCCATAGTATAGTAAAGATAAATGACAGTCCATCATTACTTAAAGACATAAATGTCAGGCAATATGGAAAATTTAAAAAACTTTGAATGTATCCTCAAGTGCAGTCACAAAAACCATCAACTGCTAAGGAATGGACCTTAGACCAGTGGAAATCAAAACTTTGGTCTGATGATTGACTGAAACTTAATTTACTGTCATAAAGGAGTCAAGGAACCAGAAAATATTCACATTAAAAAGCTGGATTCTGAGAGTTTTTTTTTTTTCCTAAAATTTGAGTGAAAACAGTAAATTACTGGTCATAATAATTTTCAATTAATTTAAAAACTGATT